TTTGATATAATATTGTTGTGGTCTTTGGTTTTGATCTTTAGTTTTAGGTTTTGTAAATTTTATAATTTTTAAAAATTAAAACTGAAAATAAAAAGGAAAATGATTGATAAATTTTTCGATTTAATACACTATTAATATTAACTAGTTCGATCATTAAATTTTGCAATTAAAAGTTTTCTTACTTTGAATTTAAATTTAAAAATAACAATTCCTTAATTAATATGTTGTAAGTGTGTTAAATTGGATGATACATCAATTATTGTCCAAATAAAAAATTAATAATTTATTTAAGATAAATTTTTACACTAACAATAAAAAAATATAAACTTATTTAATAGTTTGAAAATTATTTCTATTCTTATTTCTTTAATAATTATTTTTTTATTAACAAAATCAAATTTTATTATTTGAGGTACAAGATGTACCTCAACTTGTTCAAAATAACAACATATGTTGTATTTGGAATTACTATGAAATGTTATGCTTATGGCTTTCCTAGTATTCTATTTTAAGAAAAATTATGTTATTATTTGATAATTATTTTAAAAAGAGTCTTTACATTAATAATGATCACTAAAAGATAGTTACTAGTATACACTTCAATTTCAACACATTGTATAATATATTCATTAAAAAATCATTAATTTTTGGTATGAAATTAAAGGTAAACATTTTTAAAGATGCATAAATGTATAAATGATATAGAAACTAACTAAATCGACTATACTTACATTATATTTTAATAATTAAATTAGAACAAGTGTCAAAAAGTGTGTTGAACCAAATATATATCAATTATTTTTTGCCACTAAATTATATAAAAGATCAATTAAAATTAATTTTATCAAATAAATTAACAATTTTATGAGGTGCTGTATAAGAACATGTTGTTCCTTGAACATTCTTCTTCATCTCTGTATCATGTCATTATTGCGTTTCGATCACAAAATTAATAAAAATAATAATTAGTGAACTTATAAGAAAATATCAATAATAAAATATCACCAAAATATGTGTGAAAAACTTATTTACTTTAAAGTGATTCACATTTTTGCAAAAAGTAAATCGACCGATACAACAGAGATATACATAGTATATTACCTCTAAGATTCTTCAATTTTATAATAATACTTTATGAGTCTATACTATCTATAATCACATAATTCAAGACACCCTTAAATATTTAGAAGATAGAGTAAGATAAGAAACTAGAAAAATGTAGAGGAACAACCCCTTTTGAGAAAAGTAACATGTCCTATTCATAAGACTCTTGGTCTTGAAACTCTCATTTGTAGATTAATTGTAAGAATAAACTAGGTAATTATTATGAAATAATGTGCCCAAACAGTTAACCTATACAATGAATTGTTTGATCAAGTCCTTAACATAATATAAAATCAATTCATAAAATATAATATTTTATTTTTTTATTAAAATATTTAAATTTCAACAATTCTCTCATTATTTTAATAAAAAATAAACACATTCTTTTGGGCAATGATAGATTATTATGCATAATAAATGTAGTTAAGTTTTGAACCTTTAATTATCCAAAGTTGATAGTAAACTAAATCTTAAACTATGAACCATCAAAGGATACAAGAATCACATCACACATATAATAGTTCAAATGTTGAGTTTTTCACATAGTTAGTGCATTATGGCCTCATGCATGATCCTAGTTTTCATAGATGATCAGGAAACTTCCCATCCAATTTTCATAGAAGTGGCCTCACTTCAACACTCACATAGGTAAAATTTGTTAATAGTGCTCCCATAACTAAGACACCCCACTCATTGAGCTACAAATTTATTGAGATTATATAACTTAACACCCAATTCATTATGTGATAAATGCATCCTCACCTTAGGAATAGAACTAGAAATTTTTTTTTCCATTAAATATTAATGCATCTTTCAACAACAACTTTTTTGTGATTCATTTTCCCCATTCAAAACCCAATTTTTAGAAATCAAGTTAAATATCCTTATAGGAAGTTCTACATTATTAGGTTTGAATCCCATTCTCTTTAATGAGCACTAGACCTTATATTATGATCATAGTTTTTCCTCTAACTTTTTGTCTTTACCAAAGATCTAATTGGTGGTATAGTGCATAGCAGAGAGATTTAACTCATTCTTTTTCTCATTTTTTCTTTTCACATCAACTCACATGTCTACTAGCTCATAAAATTTACATTCATGTTTTTCAAATTCACAATTCATGGTATCACAATTTCTAATTTCAAATAAAGCTAATCAACCACCATTTTCCTTCAATACATGTAAAAACATGTATTTAAGAACTTTAATTCAGACGTTATTGTACCTCATTGTACAGCAGGGAATGTCTCATGACATACTTTTGTTTCAAGTAAAGTGCCTTATAATTTTGTCATGCACTATTATACTATAATTGTATAATAGGAGTGCATATCATATTAGCATTGTTAAGTACTATTATACTTTATTATATAATAGGAATACCATACAAAATTCCAAAAAAATATGAAAAGAAAAATTTATTCATCCAAAATTGTATAAAAAATACTTATTAAAAATATTAAATTTACCTTTATTTTACTATAATATTGTAATATAAAAATACTAAATTAACCTTTAAAATTTACCAACTATTTAAAAAAGTTATAAATCGATAAAATTATAATTAACATTAATAGGCTTAATAAAATTTTTTGAGGCAATAACCAATTTTGGGAAAAAGAAAAATTTTCGTTAAGTGGGAGGTAGGAGTTCTCTCAACGTGGAAGAACCAAGCATGGTTTGGGAAAGAAACTTTGAACTTGATTATTTAAAGATTGAAAACCGGACTTCTAGGGTAAATTGCAGATTTAGTCACTGAAATATTAACGTAGCATTCTTGAAACCACCCATGTCAACATAGAGGGACCTATTGAGATCTTTAACATGGAGGCACTACTAAAATTTTGTCTTTTACCAACAATAAATCAGCAACATGAGATTGTTTGTTTCTGAAAATAAGTATCAGCAACAAACCCCGTGTTGCTGAAAGTGCTACAGTACAAAAATGTACTTCCCACCCCTTGAAATTCTGCTCCACTTTCAGCAATATATTTCTTGTTGCTGAAAGTTACTTTTAGCAACATACTCCATCTTGTTGATATTTTTCGGTGAATTCTTTTCCATTCAATTGAGCTCCACTTTTCAGCAACGTGTTCCTTGTTGCTGATATTCACTTGCTGAAAGTGCCCCGTTTTTTCGGTAAAATTTTTTTTTTTGTGAAAAAATGCCTCTTGTTACTACAATTTTCCTGGTCACCTTGCATTTTCAGCAACAAGGGGCATGTTGCTCAAAGTGCCCCTTGTTTTTTTTTTTT